CAACACTCATATGTTGGTTACAAATTAATAATTCATGCAATCTGTTTTATTGTATCTCTTATATTCCACACACTATCAAACAGTTTTTTTTTTTCAGTTTTATTGTATTGAGTGCTTCTAAAGTGCACCATCACGTCTGTTTAAGTCGCTGTGTGGGAATTTGAGTGACGACTTTACGGCTTCAGGCTTCAGATGAAGCAACCGAACGTCTGGGGGACACAATCCAAACAAATGACAAGTGGCTGCCCACTTGCATTTCACTGCCTGACTGAGTGCGCCACAGAAATGCAGATGGAGATTGGCTGATGACAGAAAGAAAGCCGTCTGTCGGCTGGAAGTAAAAGAAAAGAGGAGGGAGACGTGTGGAGACAGATGAGTGGACCCGGGAGAGGACCTGAGAAATGTGAAGAAGAATGGATTGAAGCAGAAAGAGAACAAAAGCAAAGGGATGACAGCGATGAGGGGGACACGACCGGCGGCAGTAGAGAGAGAAATGACCTCAGTGTGAGAAGGAGGAATAATGAAATGATGGCAAAAGGAGGGAAGAAGGAACAGAGATAGAAATGGGAACAGAGGGGAGTTGAGCGTAGACAGGCTTTGTAATGTAGGAAGCAGAGTGTGACAGTTGCGTGAACCTTTGCTATTCTCCTCTTTTTCTTTTTTTTTTCTTTTTGTCCACAACCCCATCAGGCTCACACACCTTGACAGTCACATAGGGCACACACCCCCCCACACACACACACACACCCCCACACACCCACACACACACACACACACCCACACACACACACACACACACACACACACACACACACACACACACACACACACACGCACACACAGACAAACAGCTGCCAAGCCTGAGACAACCCCACAAAGCTAAAAAAAAAACAGAAAGAAAGAAAGAAAGTTGGCTCGACCGCATCTTTGACTGCAGTACAGATGAGATGAAACAAACAACCCCAGGGGAGTTTGTAATTTTCAGAGTCTTTTGATTGAAAGCTAAGGAACAGATTTCGGTTTGGCTTTTTTTTTTTTTTTTCCTACTTGCACAGATGCATGGTATAATGCAGATCAAAGGCAGTTTCTGCAAGCCTGCGAAGGGCAGAGTCATTTGTCTTTCGAGATTACAAACAGTGATACATGAAAATGTCACAAAAGCAATTAAGGCGATACAGCAATAAAGACTTGTGACAGACGTACTTTAATATCTTACTTAATTAAAAACATTAATGGTTATATAATTATTAACTGTGAGTGTGGTGTGTTTTATTGCTCTCCGGTCCTGTAACCCCACACATTTTCAGCTTTATACAGAGAAATAAGAACAATGTAACAACGTCGACAAACAAGGAAGATTTAATGAACTACATAATGGATTTCATTTATTACACTTCATAGTTCTTATTACATACTTTATACATTATAAAATTTGAACTGCCAATTAAGTGATTTAAGTACTAGACACATCTTAATATACAAAAATATGGGCAGTGGAAATAAATGGTGTTTATAATCTCGGTTTTTGGTGGGCAGCTAATCAACCACACAAAAAATAAACGCCACTCCTGAATTGGATGTTTCGCATGTCACCTAGCACTACTCCTATTTCAGCTCCCAAAAGCTGCATTTTCTTTTCAATATTTTAGATATGCTCTACGAAAAATCTACAAACATGCCAAATGCTGGCCATAGTGTTCTGCTTACCTACAATTGAAAAAACTTTATAGTTTGTTTCTAAAGTTATTTCTTTCTCAACGCACACAGCAACAAGCTTCCTAGAAATAGTAGAAATATGACTACAATTCTACTTTGAGCACTTTCCAGAAGGGCAAGGCAAACATTAGCGGGTCTAGCCTCTGTTTTGATATGACTTGTTGATAGTTAGGCATGCAATGCATTTCAGTGGGGGCTCCAGCAAATTGTCTGAAATGAGAGTTTACAGAAAATCAAAGCAATTTCTCTCACACTAACAATATCACAGCAAATTCACTGAACAGAAGCTGAGGCCGGTTTTACTTACTTTATAAAATCTTTCCGAAAGACGAAAAATATTTAGCCATTTAGATCGAGGAAATAATGTGCATGGTGGCTGAGTGCAGAATGTGCACTAAAAACAGTAATAGAGAGATTATTTAGGTCAGTAAACCCAGTGAAGACGATTTAGAAAAGGCCTTAATCAGAACACTAGTCTGGTTTCATTTCTAAATGCTTGTTTTGGGTATGTTAATCCCTTTAAACAGATCCTCATGTTTTTCTTGCATAGTCTTTGAGTGATTCAGTTGTGTTTTGGTAAATTTCCACCAGGCTCTCATGTTCATTATTGTGAGAAATTGCTTGCATGTAACTGTTCTACCGTAAAGCTAGTACACTGTTTGCTGATGGCGCTGCAGCTTTTGTTGCTGCTCAGCCTCAGTTAAATATGAACAGAAACATTTATTCCACGAAATGTAATAATGGTACATTGGAAGCCATGAGATAACAATACATTCCCCAGATATTGTTTTGTATGTCTGTGCCACTTACTTGGATTTTTGTATATTTAACAATTTATAACAGCTCAAAGGATGTTTTTTTTTTAAGAAATTGTATTTGGATCAATATTCAGTGTTTTAGAAATTGAATGACGGACCGCTTAACTTACTTTTTGTTTTTAAAAACACTAACTGAATGTTATCTAATGCTGTCCACACTGATTCAGCCGTCACCACTCACAACTAAAATCAAGGTAGAAATGTAAGAAGTTGCGAGTTGAAAAGGGCAAGTACAGAAGAGGAAGACCTGTGAGAAACATCCCGTGGGGTGAGTCACAACCCTGTGACCTTTAAAAACAATGTCTTCATAAATTCCCTGTCTGTATCATCAGTTAGCAACAAAGCGGATAAAGGCAGATGCTGATGCGGTGTATCTAAGTGTATATTTGTTCTGCTTTGTAACTACTGACCGCCCTTGTTAACAAAATGTAATGGAGCAACAGTTTTGGCAAAGGATTTCAAAGTTGTACTTCTTTATTCGCCTTACAATCATATTGTTCACATTTCTTCTGACATTGGCTGACAAAGTAGGTGTCTGCAGCAGGACCCAAATAAACTGCACTAGATGTCGAGTAGTTTACAACCGGTCTATAGAGGTTTGACCTGAGAGACTGCGAATTGCTACTGCCGCTAGTCTAGAGGTGCAATTCCATGGAGGAGCTTTGTATAACAAGCATTTAGACACCCCCGAATGTCTGTTACAGGAAACTAAGGGATCTCTAAAATATGCATAAAATCAATAAAACATCACTTCAAGTATATTTTTGATGAGCAAATAAGATTACGAATACCTCCCCTTACATCCCAGCACACTTTAAACACAATTATGGTAAAAAGGAGATTGTTTTGTTGTTGTTTTTTCCTGCCTCACAATCACTTCTAATAAATAAGGTGTAGCTAATTATGCCGTCGAGAGAGGCCAGTGGTAGGAAACTGTGTTAACCCTGAGGGGATTATTTGATAGAATTTGACAATGTGCATTGAAATTATGCAAATAGACACAGCTGGTTTAATGAATAAGAAGATATTTTAAGGCTGGCGTCTGCAAATCTTGCTCCATTGATTAACCCAGAATCAGACTGATGACTGATGGTCTGGCTGTGTGCAAGGAAACGAGTAAAAGTAATATCTTGTCCAGACAAAAAATTAGGATGCTTCACTGAGTTCCAACAAAAGGACAAAGATGACTATTTTTGTCACCTCTCACATAGAAGAATACTGACATCTATTTATTTGTCTCCGATACCATTGGAGGTCATGCATGAAATGAAAGACCTCTTGCTAATATTTCTATCTTTTGTTGGGTTTTCTTCAAGGGCCTCTTTCTGTTTATGAGCTTTTCTTTAGATTCCTTTGCTTTCAAACTGTGAAACACCTCTTGAGTGTGAAACACCTCAATTCACAGTCATATTCAATAAAATAGAATCTTCATTTCAATGAGACTTGTTCGCCAGATTAATAATATCTTTTGAAAATAACAACCTTTGAGCAGTTCTTAAATACACTTTTCATTGAGCCCTCATTTCTGTGTTAAACATTGGTCTGATGCAATATCCTAAAAAGTAACCTTAAATGTTGTGTTTTCACTACCTATAGGCAGATTGTCGTAACTCAAGCTGGTAAATGGCCACCTATGTGTAATTAAATTATATATTGTTTCACTTGCTGAATTGAATTACTGCTATATATTTACTTTTTAATAATATTCTTATTTTATTAGCTACAACTGTATGAAGAGTATCATCTCCGAATGTCCGACTCATTGAACTCCAAAGCAAATGGGCCATAGCAGCAGAAGTCCAGACGCAACTTTTCCCAGCAAAAACAGGAAACTGAAGCAAATAGTGAAGGCTCACAAAAATCGCCTGGTTCTGTGACCATGTGTGATAGCGCTGACCCTTTCCATCAAACGTGTTTATCGAACCCAACGACATATTTCAATGGCCTCCACAGTCGCCTCATCTTTATTCAGGAAAGCAGCTTTTTGGATGCAATGCAACCGAAGATTGGCATCGTGAACATGCAACAGGACACATCAGCAGCACGTTTGTGATGTCGTCCTGTCATTGCGAAGCCAAATCCCAGAGGAACGTTTCCAACACCTCGCAGAATCTACGCCATGAGGAACTAAGGGAGTTGTGAATGCAAAATGGCGTCCAACCAAGTGCAAGCGAGGTGTGCCCAATAAAATGTGTGGTTACTGCACTAAATATTGTGCTCATGCACTGTACTCAGGCAGAGAACACGGTTGATTCTGATTCAAAGTGAAGCCTGGAAACTGAAGTTACATATTTTCCGTAGGGAATTTGCCCTTTGGCTTTTTTTCCGAGCGGCCAACTGTTTTCCTACAAAAAAAAAAAAAGAAAAAACAAAGTTTATATGCCCTGTTCCTCGGGCACAGCTAAAGTTCTGAGTCCCTCCACCGAGGGAACATTCATTTACATCCATGTCTATGTCTTCTTCCAGGCTACGGCATAGGCCTTCCCCAGGGCTCTCCTCTGACCCGCAATGTGTCAGAGTTTGTGAGTCGCTACAAGTCTGACGGCTTCATGGACATGCTGCATGACAAATGGTATAAGGTTGTACCCTGCGGAAAGAGAGTCTTTGCAGTCACTGAGGTAAGTCATCAGTGGGAGTGTTCACATGGTGAACGTGTATTGTGTACAGAGCGAAGCCTATAAATGAGTCTCCCATTGGGATGCAGACAAGATTGGCTGCCAGCTAAAGCACACATGCACAAAGACGCACGCATAAGTCACCAAAATTACATAAACTCAGATTTATTCACCGACCTCAACCACCGTTTCAAGCTCAAACCGAGTGTCGACTCCTTTTTCGTCGTATTTTTTGTGTGTGATTGAAGAGTACATAAAGTTCTCTGTGCTTCCGTCTCCTTTCACTCTTTTTTTTTTTGTGAAAGATTAAAATCCCCAGATACAGCACTCTGCCTGTATCTCATATTCGCAACTAAAGGAGCAATACAACTCCCTTCGGCCGTTGCTTTTAAAGGATCCTACTTCAAAGTTGAAATATGGAAGCAAAGCGCAATTACGCAACCTTAACTTCACCCCGCACCAGGAACTTATTAGTCTTCATCCCATTTAAAGCCTGGAGAGCTGGCTACTCTGAAACAATGCGAGCATTAGTGCAAAGTTGGCCTCCTGGATCAGGAGCAGAAGGAGGTCATTGTAGATGTTGATGAATTTGTCGAGTCAGCATGGGGCTAATTGCCATCAGAGGCGACGCAGAAATGAGTTGGGTGGGAGAAACGTGATTAGACGGTGGTGGAGGAGCTCCCCGCCGGCCCCGCCACTTCCTCTGATGAACTTGTCATAAGATGGACGTTGCTTGAGTTAAGGCTTGTGGGCGAACGGAAAGGAAACAAAGTGCTTTTTTATTTCTCCATTTTCCCCTTTTATCGTCTCTCTGCTAACTGCTGTTCCTTTTTATTACTCTTAGTTGAGCCTTCCACTTCTCCCTTCCTCGGTCTTCCCTCTCCCCCTCTACCAGCATGTTTTGTTTTTTTTTTCTCTTACACTTTATTACTACTCTTATGGGCTTACACAGCCGCACTACAACAGCAGAATATCAATTGCGCACTCACTAGCGGCGGCCTTAATGGTAATTAGCTTAAGAATAAATAAGAAATCGTTCCATTTGAGTCCCTGCCAGCTCTCGGCTCCAGCGGTTTCTGACGCTCCCATGTCTTCCTTCCCTCCCTCCTGTCTCTTCGACAGACTCTGCAGATGGGCATCCAGCATTTTTCAGGTCTGTTTGTGTTGCTGTGCATGGGTGTCGGCGGAGCTCTGCTGACCTTGGCAGGTGAACACACCTTCTATCACCTGGTGGTCCCCCGCCTCCGGCGCTCCAACACCCTGCAGTACTGGCTGCACACCAGCCAGGTGGGTGAACACATGGAGTGGACAGACATGCACACACACCGAACCAAATATACTGCAAAGATGTGCAGACGTTGCTTGTAATCTTAATATTAGTCTCTGGTGTTCATGCACTCCAGCTGCTCCTGCTGCAAAGTTCCCACCTGCATCACTTGCAGATAACCTGCGCCCTCTGCTGTTGCAAACTTTTAATGGCACTTACTTTGAGATCATTATAGCTACAATTTGGTTATTTATCATTGAGGAAAGATACAGTCTGACCTCTTTATGTTGTGTTAATTACATTAATTAATGGGGGGAAAAAACTTGTTAATTACCTAATTAAGTTCTAATGCTGCCTATAAATTAAGAAGTTAATTTAAACTTCTTAAATTAAGCACATTTCCGATAAGCAGTGCTATATGCTCTGGTTCATGGCCTGCCCATTACACATCTATGCCTTTTGTCAGTAAAAGTCGCTTTCATCTGATGCTAATGGGTTCTTGAAATACAAAACAGGGCTCGAGATTTTAATACAACATACTGCATGTGAGAATTTGTGTGTTTTGCAGCAATATTGAAATAGCAAATGAATAACAAAGCAGAATTTAAAGGTCATGTGAAGTTTTTCTTCTTATGCAACTCTAGTCATTACCAAATGAGAGCCCTGTGGCAGTTTCTGGAGTGAATAATGGAACCAGCAGTCTGAATATCAAGACTGCTCGCATTCTTTTGCTACATTTTCCTAAAAGGGCAGCCGCTTCAGCGCCGCTATCTACGGTTTCTGACGTCGTAGTTCAATACGAGCCCCGTAAAATAAGAAAAAGTTTCGTTACCGAGGCTGTAATGTTCTGGCCAGACGTTTATATGCACTCGTCATAGCTGTAAACATCGTGAATTTTTTATGCTTACCGTTGTCGTTTTGTGTTTGCTCTAAAAAAAAATTACAAAAAAATAAGTGGTTCTATTAAATCGGTAAGAGCAAATGGTGAATGTCTGTAATCTTCTGAGCAGAACCGGGAAAATGAAAGCATGTTCATTCATTATGTATTTTAACTGTGTGCATTTGGACAAACACTAACACTTGCCTTAAACTGTCTCAAAATGGCAAGCATGAAAAATGTGTCTTTTGCTGAAATCCAGAGTATCTCCTCTGAATTTTCTGAGTCAAAGCTGCCACAGATGCTGTGAAACTAGGTGGAATATTAATGCCTTGAAAATAGCTTTCCTAATTTGACACAGGTCAGATGTATATATATATTTATTTTATTTTATTTTTTTCTTTATCATCACTTCTGCTTGCAGAAAATCCACAGAGCGCTCAACACTACATATGAGGATGTCGGGAAGGAGCTGACCGGCCTTGACCAAAAGTAATGAGCTCACTGACATTTTGATCTTCGTTTACTCTCTGTGTTCACAGTCCCTTGTTCTGAAAATGTCCTGCTAAATGCAGCTTAAACACTTCAGCACAAACGCATAGTTGCAAATACACATTATTGTCTTTTTTTTTTTTTTTTTTAGTAGTTTACATCTTTTAAAATGTATTCTGATTATTAGTATTTGCATCTATACTCATTTTGAGATTTTACTACCACTTCTTGTTTCCCTTTAAATGTCAACAAAAGACAGTGAAGTGTGTAGTATGAGAAAAAAATGTACGATAAATAAAAAGATTAAAGGGTTATGAAAAGTTTTGCGAGGTATTGTATGATACTTTGTGCTGACAAATACTGCATGTGTCACAAAATCAAAATGTAGACCAAAGAATATTAGATTAGAAATTCTATAAAAAAGATTTGCTTCCTCATATATGTAGGGATGTTATTCTTGTTCTGTTGTACTGAATGTCACTTGAAACATGCTGCGATCTTCCTCTCTTATTCCAGGCCCTCCTCTTGTATCTCAGAAAACTGTACCTTACACAGGAAACAGCATCAGCCTTCTCCGCCGTCCCCTCCCACATCCCTCCCTGCTTCCACCACAGCTGGTGAAACCGGAAGCTCCTCGCCGTCTCATGAACCCAAGGAGAAACGCGTACACTTTGACCTGGACACGCTTCACAGCTACCGCTTGCGCACGCACACAGCGTCGGTGCGTGGTCGGCCGGGCATGGTCGGCCGTCCTGGCCTCGGTCTGGGAGGGTTTGGTTTTGGCAGCCTGGGCAGCTTTACCTCCCCGCCTCAGATCAATCTCCATGTCAATGGAGGTCCGGTCTCTACCCTTACGTCCACAGGTTTGGTCCTCTCTCCCCTGGGAAATAGGGCTACTCAGACCAGCCTGTGGGAGGGGGAACTGCAGGAGCTTCAGGTGAAGATCGAGACCTTCCGCAACCAGCTGAGAGAAGCTCTGGCTCGAAGAGCTGAGATCCAGACCAGCCTGGACAGAGAGAGGAGCGGGCTGGTACGAAGGGACACCAGTCTGGACAGGGAGAGAGACAGACAGAGGGTCCAGACTATCAACACAGACAGAAGCAGTTCCACCCTGTCCAAACTCCCAGAAAGAGACAGGACCAGCCAACTGCAAACCTTGAACAATCAGCAGACAGGAAGGCCCAGCCAGACAGCTGGGGCTGGTACCGCGGGGCTTGGACGGACCAGCCAATTAAACACAGTGAACAGTTTGGACAGAGGAAGAGCCACTCAATCACGCCCCGTCGTCACTGTGACAGGAGAAAGGACTGTCCAGTCCCGCACTTCGAGTTTGGAGCGAAGTCAAGTTAACCAACAAGGTGCTGGGAACATAACTGTCCAGACAAGGAACGCTTCTAGCCTGGACAGACAGAAGGCCAACCTATCACGCACTCTGAACACTTTGGAGAGGACAAAAGCCAACCAGTCAAGTGTAAGCAGTGGAACCTGATTGGTTCTCTGAAGCCTTCTGGTGTGCAGGAATTAACAGAGAACTAGTCAGGTGGAGCTAGCACAGCCGCGGGAAGATGGCTCAGAACAGATTCTGGTCATTTCACCCTTTTGCCATTTTGTAGCTTTTGCAGCTTTGGTCTTTTTCTAGCTGACCTTTTCAGGTTTGAAATGGAGCCTTATGCCACAGGATGTTTTATACTGTCCCCGAGTCACCTGAACACCACACTAACTAATTTCAAATATATCCAACTTACATTCTGCTGGAAGAAAATGTGACTCAAATTGGAAATATGAGACATCTTGGTGTGATTAGAGGTAACAAGGGTTGATCTCAAAGATCACAAATGTGCCCCCCTTTTATGAGTTTCTTGTGTTTTGTTATACCAAGTCAAATTTTAATACAAGATTATGATAACCAGAGTAAATACAATCAGCTGGTAAAAAAAAAAAAAAAAGATTCATAAAACATGAATCACTTCATGTTTTAAGAGAATAAGCAACCTGGCTCTAAGTGAAAATTTAGTGCATAATCCTTTAAATGTCTCTCAGTGAGGATCAAAGACACAACCTGGCATACAATGATTTAACTGGACAGATATTATGCAAAGAAGTGACAAAACGGCAATGAATGAATTGGCAAAGGGGTGAATTGACACGATTCGGTTGGAGTTCATTGGGGGGTTTTTTAGTTCAGGGGTGAGATGTCAGAAAGTTTATTCACAATTTCATTTGTAGCAATCCACCTAATTTCAACAATTTCCACTCTCACTTCGATTTATACCCAGAGACAAACGCAAAGCTGATTCTTGAGCGATGATGAAACTTCCACATTTACCCAGCAATAACAACAAAAAAAAACTAGTCTTAGGGAAAGCAGCAGCAATTGCGACGGTGTCTTAATCTTCCAAATCAGATAGATTAAAACTGGTAGAAGAAAAACAAGTGAACTTTTGGTGGCTTTTCACATCAAGATCGATTAACCACAACTGATTAAAAAGAAGATGGCCTCTGGCAACTACATAATCAGTGGCAAGAGGGCAGAAAATCTATTTTAATCAAATTAAAAGGTGACTAACCAAATTAAAAATTTGAAGTGCAAAACACCAGCCTGACACAAGAATCTGCAGAAAGCGAGGTCGAAAAGAAGAAACTATAAGGATGGAGACTTTAAATCGCTAAATTTAATGGACTCAAACTGTAACTGTCTTGATATTATAGCCTGTCCTTAAATATTTTCTATTTTTTTCTCTCTCTCTGCTAAATAAGACATAACAGGTGAATGTTTCACGGGTAATGGAAATGGATGACATCGGAATATGATTTACTTCATCCAATGTCTTGTTCTCTCGCTCTCTCATTTTACTTCTTCATTTTTTTCTGAGGTGAGATCAAACAACACACAGAGGCCAGCTTTCTACGTATGCAAGACGTAGAAACCTGGCCTCTGTGTGTTTCAGATCAAAAAGGAGGATGCTGTGTAAAACATAAATGCAAATAATATGTGAAGGAGAAGACACACGAAAAAATAATAATAAAATCCCAAACACATTCTGCACTCTGGAAACTGCTGCGTGTACAATCCATTTGATCTCACCTGTGAAATATGGACATATCTGGTGCAGAAACTCCTTAATACAATGGAAATATGAAATATTTACTTTTCTTAAGTCAAAAACCTTTTGGTTTAAGGATAACCAGGGTGTCAAAAAATACATGCAAAACCCCCCCCAAAAAAACAAGAAAAATCAGACAGGATGATTTTTTTTGTTTTGTTTTACATATATTTTAGTATAAAAATTTTTCTTAGATTTGTTACAGCAAAGGGACAAGGATTCTGACATTGCTTCCAAAACATGCCAATGCCGGTGCTAATTAAGAGGTGGAGACAAAAACGCTTTTGAAAAACAAACATTTACATATTTACATTCCACTTTAACGACCTAAGTCCAAAGCCAAACAATAATTCAGACCCAAACGCCGTCCAACCCGTCTCCTCTCCCTCCAGTCAACGTGGGGGGTTTTAACTGAGAGAGAGATTGAACACACTACTTCCTCGTCAGCGCTGCTCGTAGGCCCGTTTCCATGACAACGCATGACCAGGTGACCTCTGAGAGCAGGAGAGAGTGATGAGAGAGAAAAAATGTTTTGAAGTTCAATTAATAAACTGGTAAATCACATTTAAGCCCTTGCAAGTAGAGCAACACAAATCAAAAGAAGTGCATTTATGAATTAAGACGTACATAAATGCAACACCTCACTTTTATTTTTTTTTTACCAATTCTTTTGTCTAAATGTGACTGAATATAGGTAGCACTAGCTTTCCTTGGCAGGTAAAAGAGCAGACTAAAGTCATTAAAACGGTCGACTGAATTAAATATGACTATTTATTGTTTCTGACCTGCGTAAGACCTACATGTATGTCACTGTTTGGCACTGATAAGGCTTTTTCTTGTCTCTCTTAAATAATCCAATAAGTTAGAATTACCCAACAGCATAAACGCAGCATTTGGGTGAAACAAATATTTCACTTTTACCTTACTTTTGAAATATCTTTCCAGTCCTATAGTCATTCTTGCAACTGCCTGGGACAGTAATTAAACATCAGAGCGATGTAGACATTTAATGCAGTTGTAATTGCCGAAACAGCGAGCAAGAGCTGTAAATACACAGATGAAACGTACTGTAATAACCAGTCTTTCCAACTGAACAGATTGGTCCTGTTTTATGGCTTTTAAAGCTTTAAAACTTTACATCTCTTTCACTGTTTTTGGTTGCAGTCAATTTCCGTTTAAGTGCCTGTTGTTAAAAGAGTTAAAAGCTGCTCATTTTTGCTGAGATCCTGAATTATATGCAGCGATTGTGCATGCAGTCACCAGCAGGATAGAAGAGTCGTCTCCATGAACAGGTTTCAGCTCGCTGTTGCAGACCGCCAGCATTATTCAGTTTGTGAGCATGCACAGTAATTAAATCAGATGAGAAGTTCTTTGTCAGTGCTTAAAACATTTTTTTTTTTTTGCAGTTCTGTTCAAGAGTAGATGTTTTACACAGCGTCCCAGATCTTCTTGGAAAGTTAGTTGTGCAATATATTGCAAAGGCTGAAAGCACATGTATATGTACAGGTAAAAAAGCTGCTGCTGAAAAATCCACTGAGGTGGTTTGACCCATCAGAGATTTGGTTATCTCAGCTTTTTTTTTTTCTTTTTTTTTAAAACACATTAGGTTTTTATTATCCTCTTTTTCCTCATGCCTCTTCCAACCCCAATCCTTTTAAGGTGCAATATTAAATTACTACAAAGTACCTTTAATTAAAATCCCATCCCATTCCTGCTCATTCTATTTAGGGTTTGACAGCTTGCAAAAACCAAGTGCATTATTAGGATTATGGAAGAAATTATTATAACAAAAATATGGCTCCAGAAACCTTGCCATTGGGACCTCGGCTTGTTTTGTGCGCCCTTCCTTTTTAAACATGTCTGCTTTTCATTTTGTGGACGCTCCTGCAGGTATCCAGTTGCCCACTAGAGGGAGATGCATCCCTGCTTCCCAGTGGCTATGGAAACCTGGAGAGGTTCCAGGGAGATATTTTTGATTAACAAAACAAATTAATCAGTTCACGTGGTTCGCGTATAAAGAAATAACGGCATGTAAAAGGTGCATTCATAAACTTTCTTCTGGTCTCTCCAGCATCTTAACAATGCAGTTACACTTATTGTCTTGAGATTCTCAATCTCTTCAAGCAGATTTCAGAAATCTGAAAACACCCACTGATATCACCTTGATGAGTATTTTTTTATTATTATTTGGTGATACTAATGTACATTTTAGCGGCTCAACCTTTGCTGTGGTGTGAAGTGGTTGTGTTCACATACCATGGTGTCTTCAAGGACGTCAAATATTTTAGGACTTTTGTCAAGGAAAAAGCTTGTGGTACTGGATACTTAAAGAGATACTTTTAAATTATCACTTATTAAAGTAATATCGACATATTAATAAATTTTATGCATAAATGGACATTCTCATGTTTTGAAATAAACATTTATATACTGATGTACTTGCATTATGTGATTCTTAAAGTAGGGATTTGTTTAAAGAACAGATGTAACCGGCTGCAAGTTAAAAATGGGAAGATTCAGTGACCAAATCAGTGCAAAAAATAATGAATAAAAGCAGGAATAATAATTATAGCGTGGAATCTTTTTATAATCTAAAAACACTTAGTTTAAAATCAGAAGTTTGGGTAATTTTGCCAAAGGACCAATAAAACCCTGAGCTGATTCTACACAGATTATTATTATTATTATTATTATTATTATTATTATTATTATTATTATTATTATTATTATTAATCATGCATTAAGAGTGATGTCAGATAAAGTAAGTTTATGTTATGTCAAAACTCCACTGTAAAAATATTTATTGTATTAATGCAGCCAGGATAATTTTGAGCGCAAAACTGCAAAGAAAACTTAATATAAATATCAATTTTTGTCCATTTGAAGTTATTTTTGATCAAGATGTGAGTGCTGAACATGAATAGCACTGTGCTAGACAGGTTACTTTATATGGTATATTTTGAGTTCATGTTTAGTTAAAACTATAAATGCCTTTTTCTACAGGGCAAAACTAACATTAAGATTAATGAAATAACCCCTTCAAATTATTTGAGACTTTTTTGGGGGTGTTTTTCCATTTTGCGAATAAGAAAAGAAATACATAGAAATACGGAAGTATTCTGTGACTGTATTTTTATTTTTTAAACTGCTCTGTTTAAAATAAGTATTGGAAATGAATATTGGTCTAATGTTGCCTCAGGCTGCAGACTTCTGACTTAGCTGATCAATTAATTAGAAATTGTAACCGATATTGATCTCTTGTCAGCAAACTGCCAACACTTATACGTCCCGGAGTTCGTCAATTAGATCCATCATGATTTTGTGACACGGCGTGTCACAAATCATGAGGGTGAAATCCTCTTTCTTGTGAGGTCATAAGTCTTATTACAGCAAAGTGTAAAAAGTGAAATGGCAACGACATGTGTCACAGTCAGTGTCACTTGACAAATAATGACTTGAGGCTAAGCCAGAAACTGGCCTAAATTGCAGTTATTTGCGCAGTGACAGCTTTCAACCACACAGTGGCACTCAAGTCTATCACTTCAACTCATAGGGGAAGAACCTGCTGGGAGTGACTTTGCACTGAAGACACTTGTTTCAGTTTCTAGTAGAAAACGATTGTGTTGTCAATTTACAGATCCTCTATTTGTTTTTATGTTGTCTGTTATCCCTCGTGCTCCTAAAACATTCGGCTGCCAACGTTTTGTCAAAAACATACACAGGTGGTTTAGAAAATGATATGCTGGAGGTAAAAGTAGTATGCTAATACAGTAACTAATTAACGGTAAATTCGCCAGACTGCATAGTTATAAGTATTCCTATATTGGTAAAACCAATCTGTTCTCTGCACTTGCACACAGTTTCCCCGAGGCTGTGATAGAACAAACAATGGTCTCTTTGTCAGGTGTTTTGAAAGGCTCCTGGGGAAACACTGAAGAAATCAATCAGAATCCAATCACAGAACTGATTGAAAATTCAGCTGGTCGGATAAATATACTGATATATAAGTTTAGGGCAAACCAAAATGCTTAACACATACAGATGTCAAAGATAATATTGTGACCAGTGACAGATAAAATAAAGAATATTGACTCTCCATCATATGTGCCCATGGCAGTGTAGCAATTTAGACTATATTGTGCTGCATGTCGTCTCACACTGCAGTAGTTTAGTTCTCTCTTTACACTGAAGGAACACAAGTGAAATGGTTTCGGGGTTGCAAGATTGCTAGCCATTCAGGAGACAAGGTAAACCCGTCTCATGTACAAACAAATGAAAGGGATGCTTATAAAACAGAAACAGTGTCAGAATCGACACTTTTTCTGTAAAAAGAAAAAACACATTGGATTTTTTTTTACACTTTTTGTTGGCTGAAAATGTTGGCCAACAAAGACATAACCCAACTAGAACCACTAAAGAAGGAAGGACAAAGTTTCAGACAAAAAGACTAACTAAACCTAAAGTGACAAAATAAGAGAACTAGAAACACTCTGCAGGGAACAAGAAGGACTTAAGAAATAACCTAACTAGGATGAATAAAGGAAGCTGGGCATGGATGCAGGCATAACAGAACTAAACTTAAGGTATAAGGTACAGATAAAAAAATATAGAAACACTAAAGAAGGAAGCTAGAAGGACTAACAAAGAAATAACTTGAGCCACAAAAGAAAGAACTGAACCTAGGATGATGAAATAACTAAGACATAAACATAACTAGAAACACTACAGGGAGACTGAAATAAGGAAAGCAATAACAAGACAATTACCTCAAACAATAAAACTAAGGCTCTCCTAGCCTAAAGGGATAACCTGAAACAAAATGATAAAGATGAAGAGCAAAACCAAACCCAAAAACCCAGAGTTCTGACAATATCTGTGTAAATATAGAGCCGATTTAGACTAGAAGTCCAACAGGACCCGAAACCACATCCAAGACCAAATCTGACATCTATGGTTTTGAAATATCTTCTATTTCAAAACGTTCACATGAGAGGTATTTTATGAGTCTTTAAACTTCTGTCATGATTGTGATGTGTTGTTATTTTACACAAAGGTCAATTCTTATTCAGACAATAAACAAATGAAAGTAGAAAGGAGGCAGTGCAATCAGAGTATTCTTCCAGTGTGAAAGTGTGGCACATTTCTGGTCAAATAACTCTCATATAAAAGTTAAGTGTAAAAATCAACTGGGGAATATTCAGAAGAGCCATCATAAAATTTGTTGGTCTATATACTGCTTTAGATTTTCTTGTCCCTTCTAGGATTAGCCATTAGCATCAGTCTAATGACACCAACTAATGTGAAGATAAACCTAAGCAGGACACCAAGAGAGTCATCTGCTGCAGGTAAGACATTAATATTTTATAACCTTTTAACAAAATGTCACTCTGAAATGTTGTAAAATAGTTACCTAAGTGTTAAAGTCAGACTAAAAGTTGAGCAAAAGCACACGTACAGTTAGTGATAAAAGTCTGCCATTTGGGTCACGTATGAGCAGCAGCCAAAAGTCATTTTAATTAAAAATGTTAAAAATCCCCAATGCACACACCCTACAGCAGGCAATTAGCATCAAACCAGTGTAAATGACAAAAAGTGATGATTTTTTTTTTTTTTTTTTGGCAGCACTGTAATTAGAAACATAATTTTTTTAAATCGTATTGCAAAATTCGTAGTGAGAAGCAAAACAATAATAATTAAAAAAAAGAATCAACATATGATCCACTTCTGTCTCACACGCTTCTCTCTTCCTCTTGATAGCGCTTTGTATGAAGGTGAACAGCATTCAGACACAGTGAATGATGAGTTTATTAGCTCCTACCAGCTGTGACCAACCCTTGGGTATTGTTGGAGGGGTACAGCTGTATCTCTATGAGCACAGGACCGTAGAGATGGGGGCTGGATGGGGCTCTACCCAGGCCAGGGGGAGCGGGAGAGGTGGAGGGAATCACAGACGAGGGAGCGCCTCTGAGTATACCAGAAGAGCTCCCTGGCAACTCGAGACAGGATTGACGCCATAAATGGGGCTCCCCTGTTCTCTCACCATGAAGCAGTCAAACAAAGGCCAGTGACAGAGGGTGGGAAAGAGGAGGAGGGGCCGGGGTATGCAGGATGTCTAAATGGGTGTAAAGCTTCTGAAGGCCGGACAGCAGGCGAATTCCTGCTCCTCACCTTAGCAAGCTTTTCCAGTCCAGAGAGTGGAAAAACATCTTCACCTTTTTCCACTTTTTGACATTTTGTCATGTTTTAACCACTAACATCAGCCTATCGCGACCGAATTTATGTGACACAGCCACATCAATTGAAGGAAAATAACACATGGCTTTCAAAAGTGTCAACAAACACAAATCTGAAAAGTGTGGCATGCTTTTATATTCAGGCCAGTGAGGCAATCCTTGTGGAATCCTTTTAGCGACAGCTAACACATGAATATGCTTCGAAGGAAGCCATTCCATACCAGCTCCGGCGTTTAGGGCCATTTCTGCTGGGATTTATGTTCTTTCCAACCATCAACATGTTTTTTTGTTTTTGAGGAATGACTTCTATTGAGCTCCACCTATCTGCCTACCATTTCTTGATAGGCCTCTTTTCCCTGAAAAGAAAAGAGTTCCTACAGTACAATGCTGCCATAATCAAGGGTGACTTGAAGAGTCCGTTTTTCACCACGCATCTGTATGTACGCCAGACGGTTTTAGTCAGATGTGACCAAACCAGCAGAACCTTTCATTGCTTTCTGATTCTGTGAATAATGCGTCCCTTGACTTTAGGTTTGTAGATACTCTTTCAGATGATGGGATGAAACTGTGATATGCCTAGAGCTGGGGATATAGCTTTAAAACCTAACCCTGTTAAAACTTCTCCACGACTTGACAGGAAACAACTTCTCTGGATTTATTCCAAGGTTAAATCAGACAAAAAGGGATACATTTAGAAATTTGGGGACTTCTGACAGCAAATTACTTCATTTAGTTGTGTCAAAGTATTACGTATTTTCTGATTTGTATGTGTAAACTGTATTAGTCATGGTTATTTGTCTTGGTCTGCCACACAAAATCCAAAATTAAATATACTAAACTTTGAGATATGGGGAATTGATACATTTCCGATGCACATGTGACTCGTGCGTCCCTGAATGTGTCACAGCTCTCTCACTTACAGACATTGCGGGGGAAATTGAACACGGGGTAAACCGGGGATCCAAATGGAGATGTTTAAGTTCAGCTTAAAAAGCAGCATTAATAATTCACCACGGCGAGCGCAGAGGTTATGGATCGCTCACAGACACCATCTTCTGAGAGCACCAAAAATGCGCACGCCGCACCATTTTTTTTACACGCGCGCGCTCGTGCAAGCGAGCCAGTTTGATGTCAATTACCGTAGCGTCATTCACCCGAGATGAGTGAGAAGAGGTTTTGCGTGTGCGGGGTTTTTCAGGGTGGGGGGCGGGGGAGGAGTGTTGGATTCCGGGGTGATCTGAACGCACCACCGTGGTCAAACCGCCCGCCACACCCTTCAGAGTAAACAAAAGGCAAGACGCACGTGAACCCTCGTCTGCGGGTGACGGTTGCCAGACATTGCGGCTCGTTTAAAAAAAAACAAAAAACGCTGGGGTTCAGGTGGGAAAAAAAAATCAAGCTTTTGCCCGGACATGCAGGAGTTTATCTCCAAACGCACGTCTTCACTTTCTACGCGTCGGCTGCTCGCGCAAACGTGTACACGGTCCCGCGGGCATGCGCACACACGAGGTTCACGTTCCCAAAAAAATAAAATAAATCAACCCCTTTGTTTCTATCGTCCCCCCGAAACAGGAATTCGGCAGAGAAGCGTGCTCGCGTGGACCAGACTGTCTCCTCCCCCCATCATAAGCACACACACACACACACACACACACACCCACACACACCACAACTCTCTCTCCTCCCTCAGTAACCCACTACCATCACCAATAACACACTCACACACACCTCTTCAACCCCTTTGTGTGTTTATGTGTGCATGCTGAGAGACCCGGTGACGGATGCTGAGCTTATAAAGCTTCTTTCTTTTTTTTCATTGTTTTATTATTTTAAATATACACATACTATATAACATGGATACAATTTATTCAGCAGCAGCAGCTTCTGCTGGATGTGGAAGCCTCCAGGTGAGAATAAGGCGGACCGGGTGAGCGCGTGAGTCTCGCCTCTCCACAAGCCAGGATCCGGATTGCAAGAGGAGCCTGTTACCAGGAGCAAGTGCGGCAAAACTGGGACTTTTCCACCATCAGCATCCCTCCTCTCTTCTCCTCGCCTCATCCCTGCTCCTCCTGTGGCCACGCCGCCTCCCCTCTTCCTTCCTTCCTTCCCTCCCTCCCTCCCTCCCTCACTCCCTTCTGTCCTTCTCCTTCTTCCGCGGTCCCAGAATAGCCTCGCACCCCTTCTCCCCGGGGATAAGCGCTGGAGTGTTTGGAATTTCGGGGTGACTCGAGGGAAGCTGGAGGATGGATTAGCAGCGGCGGCGCCACGGCGAAACTGGAGCAGCACGCGCGACCACGCCGGGGGGGAAGGGGGCGACGGGACTCGGTGAATTCGCGGAGCCCCCGGGACAGAGGTGAGTAAAGCCTTCCGTCCCCCTCCGCGTGGATTTACACAGCCAGGCGGGCGGGCTGCCTCTCTCCTCCCCGGCGCGAGGGAGGTGAGAGGCGGACAGTCAGCACATGGCTTTCACGTTTCTATAACTGATGATCTGAGGCAGTCTGCTTTTTTTTTTTTTTTTTTTCTGTTGGCGGAGGCGTAGATGTGAAATGCTCCAGTTTAAACACCGATTGATTGGAAAACAAACAAATAAATAAAATAAACTACAGCAATCAAAGCAAATTGAACATACCGAATCCCTCTAGAAAAGATGCAGTCGTCGTGACAATTCTGCACGCTTCATATAAATCAGGACAAAAACCAAAAAAAGCGAACAAGCACGAGGGTTCGGCGTTTTTTTGTGTGTGTGTTTTTTCCCCCTCCTCAGTCTGAATTAAGTTGGGTGTTCCCTCCTCCTCCGGACTCGTTGAAGGCCCATTCAGGTTCCTGTGAGAGTTAAGGGGCGGTTTCTAATGCATTCCGCTTCAACTTTTTCCACAATTTGTCACAACACAAGCACAAGCGTCCGCTGTATTTTATTGCGATTGCAGACGTTTGACATTCATGAAGCTGCGAAGTGGAAACAAAAGGAGCACATTCTAGAATATATTTTTGTTCTTGTTGCATGGTAAAGCATTCCTTTGCATGCAGCAGTGGCTCCATGTTTAAGGTCCTTCTCCTGCTAGAAGGGGAACCACCGCCCCGGTCTTTTGCATCATATAACAGCCCTCCCCGCATAAGGATCCTTTCAGCATGACGCCATCACCACCATGTCTTATTGCGTGTTGCAACCTGCCACATGCAGGCAAAGTAATTCTTTTCTACATATGCACGGGCTTTACATAAACTGCAAATTGGGACTTTCGTTTTAGGGCTTTTGTCTTTTATTCTTGTTTTAAACCCAGATTTAAAACAAGAATCACAACTAACACTCCCACCTGAGCTGTTTATGTCTGCTGCTCCTCCACAGCTACCTAATGATTTTTTTTTCTTGCCCAGCCTGTCAGTCTCTAAGTGGATTTCCAGGTTTCAGTATGGTTTCTATGACATTTTGGATGGTGAACTGAACAGTGCTCTATAGGATGTTAAAAGCTTGGGGTGTGGTTTGACAACCTAATCGTCCTTTATGTCTCACCAACACTTTATATCTGAGTTGTCTGCCCTGTTCCTTAGTGTTCATGATGCTATTTGCCCCTCTGACAGTCTCTGCTGATATGATAATATATGAATCTTTTGAATCGATTCAGACGCAGAGCTCAAGCCCTGTGCATCGAAGAGATGCAACCTGGGTTTATGACACTGATCATTCAAAGCAAGTCCCCTCAAATGCTGAAAACAACAGAATGACTGAGATGAGTATGTCAAACGGCAGCATTTGTCCGATTTGGCTCAATTGCTGAGTGTTTAGTAAAGAGCGGGGTCCCAGGACAGAGAGTAGTTATCTCTAACATGAATACTTTTGTGGTTAAGTGCACAAGGATTTCATTATAATTCGGTTGGAGTACAGCAGAATACCAAATCATATCATTTCAGTGTGTTACTTACAGCACATAATGAAAATAATCAGCGTTTCTTGAGAATATTGAATAGATTAGTGGATGAAATTATTAAACTGTCAAAACTACAAGCCAGACAGCACTGGAGCATGTTTCCAGTTTCAGGAAATTACAGCTGTGCAGCAGTCTGGCGTGGGGCAAATGCTGATGCATCGCTTTTCAGATGGCAGCAGTTTGTAAAGTTTGGCTCCCCTCACAATCTTCTGCAGGGAACCTCTCATCTACCATCCTGCACCGGGTCACTGACTGACCTCCGGTTTTCGCTGGTGTTTGACTGCGGTTGTGTTTGCTGATTCGCCGATCCCATGAATGAGTCATGCTGCCTTGGTCTCATCAAACATTGTATTGATAAGGTTCTCGCATGTGTGGACGCTCAGTTACGTTAGATGTAAAGAACATGAAAATATAAACATGTAATGGTGTGTAAATTGAAATTCTCTCATGTGAATGCTTTTATTATGCAAATTAATAACTGATTTGTTTGTCTGCTTTAGGATTGTTTAGTTTTCTCCATTTCCTTAAAAAAAAAGAAACACCCAGATCCTCACTTGTTATTGGTTTTAGATGTTGTTTTCCAAAATCTATTGAAGTAATAATAATAATAATAATAATAATAATAATAATAATAATAATAATAATAATAATAATAATAATAATGCAGCTTCAAATGGACTTTTAAGCCCAGAGAGCAGGAGCAGCATTCTTCCCTTCATTGACGTTCTCCAGTCATTGTGTGGGCTGGGTGGGGGGCTGAGGGGAGGAGACCATGTGACATACTGATTAAAGTTTTTTTTTTTCCACTGGTGGTCAGGTTAGCTTGGCTGTAATGATTTTGATGGCCGCAGAATGTGACTAATGTCATTGACGGAAGGGAACATTCATTTCAGAGGTCACCACTCCCATTGGGAAATAAATGCTTCATCAAAGGATAAAAGTGATCACTGAAAACAAGTCTGTATTGATCTGCAATAGCACATGCACTATCCCCCCAAAGGAACCCAGTTAATGTCCTGCAAAACCCTGAAAGAACTCCGGATTTTTTTTTTTTTTTTGGTCACACATCTGTAGATAAAAGCCTTACTATTCAATAGAACTGACAAAATAAAAATAGCTGGGTTTTGTTTACGGTTCAAAAATTGGATAAAGTGGCTGATTTCTAGCATGAAGGCAGCCTTAGAGTGGGTGGAAAGAAATAAGCCATAACCTGAAATTCAAAACAAGTCAAATTTGGACTTAATGAATCTGAAATGACAACAGATAACTTTTGTCTGACAATGTTTTTTGTTTTTGTTTTTTTAATCCAAAAGAGCAATAAAAATCTTGTAAATGTCACCAACATCACGAGTGTATGCTACATAGAAGGACAGCTAGAGCAGTTTGAAACCTGGAATCTGAGGGTTATTTATGTCTCGCAACTTTAACTAGCGAAAAACTGTGATCGCAAAAAAAAGTCAAATAAAATGCTTCATCTTAATCGCTTTTTGACCGTGAAGTGTTCAACAAGCCATCTTTGATCAACCATCTTTCTTTTTTAACCTGTAGCATAAATGTCAGGTAATTGACTTGGATTTGATGTTTGTATTTTCTTTCACTTAAAAGGTCACATTCAAGCAAGCAGAGCAAACCCACGCTGCATTTCCTGTTTGCATTCCAGCTTTATTTATGTTTAGCTTCTATTTCTTTTAGACATAATATCCTGAGAGTTGTAATGATTAAAAATAAAAAAAATAATTAGCTTGATAAGTAGTGTTGTGCAGAAGCTAGATACATTTCTGTCAGTCTGCAGCTGTTATATTTATTTAAAATTTCTAAAAAAAAAATAAATGATTAAAATATTTAACCAAAACTTCTTTATTATGGATTTGAAGTTTGATAACGTCAGTATAAAACAGCTCTATATGTTCCGTAACTTTCATAAGCAGTAAATTGCTGAAGCCGCCTCCAGTCCACCCACTGCAGCTGCTCCCATACGACCCTGATTAGAGCGGAGTTCATGTTTTTGCAGCATGTAGCATCTTGTATGAAAATCTGAAATTTTCATCAAAATGTTGTTGTTTTTTAAATAGCCCTAAACAGCTTCAGAGAACAGAAGTTTTCTCCTCAGTTATTATTACTGTAACCGTTTGAAAGAACTTTCACTGCTCTGAATGTTTGCAGAAAACACACACGTTTATTTCACATTTTCACTCTTCCGAACACTGAAATCTGATGTCCTTTCATGATGTTTGCATTTCTCCAGGGTCTCCACTGCCAGGATGCTACCATGACACATGTGTGTATGTTTGACGCTCAAATGATCTGCCAGTTCTGAAAAGTTCATCTGTTAATACATTTGAAACTGTTTTTTTTTTTTTGGGTCAATTTCTAAAAAAAATACATATATAGATATTTTTTTAAGTGTGCAGCATTTGTAGAGCTGACAGCATAAATGTCCAGAATGAAATCAATCAAAATGTGACATCTAGCAAAGCATCATGTCCTCCGGTTTGGTTACTTCAACCCAATATCCAACCCAACAAAAGCATCAAGCCTAACTCTGATATCGGATCGCATTCGCCGGTTCTCTGCTATACAGACATAAAGTTTCAATCAATTTCAACTGATGCTCTACTGAAGCTAGGTTATTCTTGACATTGGTAGCCATTTGTATGTTCGGTGTCATCATTAAATCTCCACGTTATTCTGCAACTTGCGCTTCCGTACGCTGTGTTTCACCGCCATCGCTGCTGCCTTACTCACCTCATTCACACATGGAGAGGCACAATGCATACAGACTGCTTGCAGTATAGCCCTATCCAAACACTTTTATGATGTTTGCAAGCATGAGTGTACATCAGCTCCAGCCACTTACTCATGTGATGAATCCCAGAGGACGGATGCTGGCATGATAGATAAACGACCCCCTTTTTCTAAGCCTGGAGCGCATTCTATATGTGTGTGTGTGTGTGTGTGTGTGTGTGTGTGTGTGTGTGTGTGTGTGTGTGTGTTTGAAATGTGAGTTAGGATGAGGTTTAAATGCTGACTGGAGTAGGTCACTGAGACCAAGCGGCTAGCGGGAGTGAGACCCCATCCTCAGCATCTTGCTAAGCTGCTTTCAGCCGAACTGGGATCTGTTCCTTCACGGCATCTTCTCCATTCCTAATTCCAGTCCCTTTTGTCAACTTCCCTGTAGCATAAATGTGCATGCTTCTCTTTTGAAGTGTACTTATCTCGGACCTGTTCTTCCTCCCCTCTCCAACACGTTTCCAGGAGTCATGGAAATTAGATGGGAGAAGTCTTTGATTCTCGGCGCATCACAACGCCTCAGGGTCAGGTTCTCTTATCTCACCAAAGAAACAGTGATGGAAGAAGAAAACCAAAGGATAATGACTATGAATCATAGTTGGGTACAGAGAGGGGTGAAGAAGAGAAAGGTGAAATGATAAAGAAAGATAGATAAAGAACTGACTAAAACAAGTGTGAGAATGGCCTAATCAAAGACCTGTTTTGTAAAGAATAATTGGGCAAATGTCTGTAAATGTGCAAAGCTAACCGATAAATACAGAACTTGTGGTTCTTAATAGGGAAAAATGTTCCAAAGTATTGACTCAAGGAGGCTGAATACTTTGCAATTATGTGGTAGTTTAGTAGTTAGAATGGCCTAGTCAAAGACCAGTCCTATTATTCAAACAATACTGGGCTAAAAGTATGTAAAAACTGCAACTCTGGAGTAAAAGGTTGTTCCAGAGTATGTTGGGGGGCTAAGTAATTTGGAGTTATGTGTTTGAGTTTGTGTTGGTTTACGGCATAAAATCCCAATAATGTAATTTCTAGCGGTATGAAAACGTTTGCACAACATGTGCGTAAAAAGTAATACCGCCCCAAAAGTAGTCCGTCAGACATATTTGGCACAGCTGACGTTGCGAGAGTGAGAATAAACCGGAGGAGAAAAGACACTGAGAGGGGAAAAGAGGTCAGGTGGAAAGCGTTCGCAAAATGAAATGAGATATGAAGAAATCAGGTGAAATCAGCGTCGAGCAGACGGTACATAAATTAGAGGTAGCGGTACTACTTAAAAATGGGACAAGGAGATGTGTGAGGCAGGGAGGGCGAGATTGACAGATACAGAAAGGAAGAATTCAACAGGATGGGAAGGAAGGCATTGGGAGGAATAGGGAGCTGTAGGGAAAACGGTGAATATTTAACTCTATTTGACTTTCCATCTATGCCTCTGGCTGTTTCCTCTCTCGGAGACCTTCTGCATGCCTAAAGGTTACTGAAGACACCATACTGTATATATATCTATATATTTGGGGTAAACAGCTGTTGGGTTGTTAAAATGCTTCCTGCTCAATTCAGAGCTTTGAAGAACCCAAACAGCTTGAATGCCTTTTGATTATAAAGCAGCTCCAGGTACTGCAAACACACACTCACTGCTAAGCATCCCAACACAGCAGTGCGCACGGGTCATGTGTCTATGTTGCGGTAACAACAGTATCACATCAAATGAATAATGATCCACTGTATAAAAAGGCATGTCCTGTTTTCTCACAGTGTGAAAACTGTTTCCATTTCCTAAAAGCCACAACAACGGCTGACAGTTTCTTAGTCATTTTATTCTCCCTTTTACAAATGCATAGTGCGTGGTTGTTTGCCTTGTGTGTCTCTGTGTTGCTATGTGCCTGACCTCTGGAGTAAAGGATCTCAAAAACACCTTTTTTTGACCTCATGGAACATTCAGCAGAAATTGGGCAAGATATCAGGAAGGGAATTGTCGACCGTTATATGTCTTGTTCACCTTTTGGTACGATTTCAAGAGAACTGGGGATTGCAAATGTGAACACCGTGGCGATATCCGACTCTTACACTGGTTAGGAAGGGAACAGGAAGACGTCACATTGTGGGGTTTTTTGCTGAAAATTTCAACAATTAAAAGAAAAATAAGCCAAAGTCCTCTGGAGGTTCCAGCCGATAACCGTTTGTAATGTCATCCCAACAGGTTGCGACTGGTCCCACCCCAAGATGACATCTCCCAAAACCAAAGCCAAGAAGAAACCACCCAAAGACAGCATGACTCTGCTGCCATGTTTTTATTTTGTGGAGGTACGGATGAATTGGGAATGTGAAAGAATTGTTGTTGAAATGCGACAGTTCTTACATATTTTTATTGTAATTGTCACCTCTGCATATTTCTGGCTGAATAATCTTAACATTAAATCAATATCTGAGCTTTTCTTACACGTGTACGTTGTATGTGCATGCGGCTAAAATGAAACATTCGATAACTTGCTACACTCCAACAAAATAAATCAAATGCTTGCCAGTTGTCCTTGGTTTTGTTTTACGGCTTGTGAATTAACATGTGTGTCGACGCATTCTCGTCCAGCTCCCCATTGTCCTGTCCTCCTTGGTGTCTCTGTACTTCCTGGAGTTGACAGATGTCCTTTCCCCTGCGATGGTGGGCTTCCGTTGCTACGACCGCGACCTCTCCATGCCTTACGTAGAGACTGGAGATGAGCTCATCCCCCTGCTGATGCTGCTGAGTTTGGCGTTCGCCGGCCCAGCCGCTTCCGTAAGTCCATCTCTCGACTTTCAACACAAAGCAGCGGATCGTGTTATATTTGCGAAGTCGAGGGAAGAGGAAACTCTGCACCCGGTGACAAAAAGCAATCTCGAAGCATGATGCTGCCACTGCTGTGTTTCACCATAAACTATGGATTTAGTTTCCAGTGTTATTTTTATCCCATTGTCCTTTATAAATATGTTTCCTGTCCTATTTAAGCAAAAGCAACACTTTTTTCTAAACACATGCATGAATTATAACTAATAATTAGTTGTGACATTTCATGTTGCTGGCTACTCTATCAAGCACCTATGAATAATATAAATCATACTAATGTGCCTTTTGAGCAGATATTTTTGGTGGATTTATGTCTAAAATAATTGTAATCAATTCATGTTGTACAAATGTCGCTCAGTTGTACACACACCTCCATTGCACCTCACCGCACCAACATCTTACTGTAGAGCAGTGGTTCCCAAAATGAATGAAAACCATCTTTTCTCTGTAAAGATGGTTTGTAGTTTGTTTTGTTACAACCTGAAGTGTGAAATGAACTTCAGTGGAGTTTGAAAACAAAATATGTATATTGGTTTATGTCTGGTTGAATGATGTGTTGATATTTTTTTTGATCTTTTTCTTTTTTGGGGGGAATTTTATTGTAATCCTTAGGAGGGCCCAGAATATCTTTAGGAACCACTGCTGTAGTGTTTCCTAGACCTCAAGCAAATTCCAGTGAATCACCAAAAACTACAAAAGTCACACAAATAGGCAGATGTGTAGCAAATTCAGTCTGCTCTCTCTCCCATGCAGTATCGATGTTTAGATTGATAAACATCCAGACTTGCATTAAACATTATCAGTCACTCCCCCCGCCCCCAAATCGATAGACACCAACACACACTACAGTAATCCATCAGCAGCATGGAAACGAGCAGCAATCGTTTATCACTCTGATTGGAAGTGATCATTGTTCAATAGCACCTTGCTCTGCTTTCACCCTGCTGTACCTTCCTGCAGTAGATCAAAATCACAGACATCTCTACCTGACGTGAATAGCACTTTAACACTTTTACTTGTCTGTTTGCTCTACTCTGCTCTTCCGATCTTGTAAAATGCAAACAGTTGAAAAAGCCCTACGTGAGCCAATCTTTTCCCCTTCTCTTCATTGCTGGTCGTAGATCATGTTGGGGGAGGCGGTGATGTACTGCATGCAGTCCAAACTGAAGACCTGCCCCAAATCGGAGGGCAGCATAAACGCCGGAGGCTGCAGCTTCAACTCGTTCCTGCGCAGGACCGTGCGCTTCGTTGGTACGTCCGGTCGCCAGGCCCGTTTAGAAGTCACTAATTTGAATTAATATTGTCGTTACTCTATATGTCTGCATAGCTTTAAGGAATGTTCTCCCTGTTTGGATGAAAGAAAACTCACAGCCAACGGCAACTTGTGAACCCAATTCTTATTTTCAAAAATCACAAAAGTTTTCATGTGTATTTCAGGCTACGGTTATCCAAGTTCAGCTAAGCTTTATTTATAGAGTGACGATTTTACTGTGATCCAAAGTTCCCAGTGAGTCTCAACTTCATTTCGTTTTTCAAAGTGGAGAAATAAGCTAATTACAGACATTAAATGAAGGGTGACTTAAAATGAAACCGACTTAAGAAGCTGAGATAATGAAATACCCGAGGCAAACTGAGCTTTGAAGTCAAAAGAGTAATCTATTCACTTTCCCGCATTTCCCTCCCTGCATGTGTGTGTGTGTGTGTGGGTGTGTGTGTGTGTGTGTGTAAGCACGTAAAAATGCATCAGACTGACAGCTTATGGTGTCACTTCAGGTTGCTGCAAATTCACACTGGTTTCCCCCAACAGCAACACGTGTCTCAGAAATGAACCGCTCTGTGTGATGAAGGCATTGGGCGGGTTGTTTTTTTTTTTTCAGTTCATTCGCCTGATGCTGCATTCACCTCCGTTGCCTCTATTTCTCTCCCTCAGGTGTTCATGTGTTTGGTCTCCTGGCAACAGCCCTGGTGACAGATGTCATCCAGTTGGCTACGGGCTACCACGCCCCTTTCTTCCTCACCGTGTGCCAGCCCAATTACACGGCTCCGGGGGTGTCATGTGACAACAACGCCTACATCACGCAAGATATCTGCATGGGGAAAGACCAATATGCAATCATGTCAGCAAGGTGAAAATGTGCTTGTATTTATTTAGCACAGAATCTTATTTATATTATATTGAATGTGTGTAGATTTAGGATTCTAACACGTCTTGCAAGAATACAACTGGCATTAGATTAGTCAAAGCTGGTTATTTATTTTGGATTTTATGAAATTAAAATTTAAATAAAAGAAAAAAAATGTTAGATGTTCTTTGTTAAATAAAAATGTGCATGTGGCGGCATTTTGGATTCAGGTTTGTGGCTTTTCAAGATCCTCTGTAGTGGTGCATACAGGGGATCAGACAAACAAGCTCCAGCGAGTCGCTGTGAAAGGCATATTAGATCCGTACACAGGAATGATCACAGCTTAGCGCTACTGATACAGGGATAATCCCAGTAACTGTATTACAAGTGTGCATGTAAGTGCTTCTCTTCTCCAGGGGAGCCGTTATTAAAATACCTGAAGACGCAGTTGTTTTGCATAGGACGACATGTTTTCTATTATCACCTTTTGTCGCCAGGGACGGTGGGACGAAGCCAACAGTTTTGAGAGGTAGAGGAAGAAATTGATGGAGATGTGTAAAAATTATTTCTATGAAGCACTTTTTGCTGTTGTTTAAAAAATACAAGCAGCCTTGATGTCTCACCTCAGCCGGATTCAATTCCTCTAATGTTCCCCAGTGTGCCACCTTCGTGGTTAATGGAGCTGAAATCCGAGGGCATTCATTAGGACAGGCGAAACAAGTTGTCGTGTCATGTATTGTACCTTGAAAACAATTCAGCATTTTTTTTTACATGTAAAATTCTGAAAAGTGTGGTGTGGTCTCAAACAACCCGCATCAATATCTATCTCTACCAGCAACAACTCAAAGTCTGAAATTTTTAGATGTTCTATTTTTGTGAAATTGTTCAAGATAAGTCAGACTAAATTAAATGTAAATAATGTGAATGTTATTTACATCACATGAATTTCCTGTCATCCAGCTCCAAGCCTTGCCACATATTCGAATTAGATCTGGACTTCGACTAGGCCATTCCAACACAATGGTTGAGCAATGTTTGGAAAGAAAAAAAAGAGAAGGATTAGTCCTTCCAGAATTACCCATACTTTACTCCGTCCATCTCCCCATCAACTCTGACCTGCTTCCCTGCTCAAGCTAAAGAAGGCATCCCCACATCATGATGATGCCACCATCACCATGTGCCATGATGGGGGTGGTGTGTGCTGAGCGGTGTTAATTTTCCACAACACAACATGGCCAAAAAGTTTCATTTCAGCTCATCTGACCACTTTCAATAGATACTAGCTACTCTTCCGTAAAAGTCGGTGCATGCATGACAAATAGCTGTCCTATAAAAATATTTTCCTACTTGAGCTGCTGACTTCTGCAGTTCCTCCAGTCTGTTTGGATGCTCCTCTGATTTATGCACTGCCTGGTGTATCAGTTCAGGCATACGGCCATGTCTGTGTAGGTTTGACAATGTGCCATGCTCGTTTCGTTTTTGGACATTGAATGCGCCTAGTGACATTTTTTTTTATCACCTAACCCTGCTTTAGACTCCTGAAACATTATCCCTAACAGGAAGCAGATGGATTTATACTGCCGTAATTATTATTTTGTTTGGTAAAAAAAGGCTTGAAAACATCTATCTTTATTTCTCCACTTCTAATTTTCCTGCTCTTTTCCTGTAGGAAAACCTTTCCATCCCAGCATGCTACGCTGTCTGGCTTCGCAGCTGTATATATCTCTGTAAGCACTTCAACTTACTAAGATTCTACTAGCATGACATGTCCGTGGATCGATGTGCTTATTGATAGCCCTGGAAAAATACTCAGTTAAATCTGTTTATATTTGTAATTTTTTTTTGTTTTCTTTTTTGTAAAATCCAAAATGACACATTGCAAATCCACAAGGAACAACATGCTGTCAGCCGTGACTGTACTATTCTTCTCTGTTTCATCATCACTTGATAAAATAAAGAGGTATTTTACTTTTTTTTAACAATCATAAAAAAGTTAATATGTTTTAAATCACATACAAAATCTAGAGTTTCACTGATCAGAGTTTTTATGGCCAAATACCTAGAATGGATCCTCCAAACCTTTGACTTGAAGGGTTATGAATAAGAACCAAGTACTGGATGAATTGAAGATTCAACCGGATTGACAATATTTTGTAGCAAATTAAAACAATTTTATCTAAAGCATCTCAAATATATAGAACTTTCTCACTGCATCACTAATAATCAGTGAGTTTTATTTATAGCTGAGTTTTATCTATAAATAAAACTCAGCTAAGAACAAGTACAGCATATTTACTTATTTACATGACAGAGAACAGCGCACTGTCTTTCTTTTTCTTTGCCAAACACACCTCTATATGTAGATGTATGCTGTGCCAGTTCAAGATATGCTAATGTTTTCTGCAAAAAAATAAATAAATAAATAAAAATGCAGCCAAATCTGACTTCATATTTGACAGACAAAAGCTGATTTACTGTAAGATACTAGATTGTTAACAATGCCAGCCTTTCTGTCAAAAACAATCATTAGGAATTTCTATAGACAACAAACAGAACGCCACAATGTCTGACTGTTACTCAGCTCTGCAGTCACGCATTTCAGTATCATTTCAAAACAGACGGAATGATGACAGATGGGATATTTTCAGTGTTCTAGCAAAGAGTGCAATTAGCACAGTCAGTGTTACTAACTTTGAAAATAAGCATGTGTGTGTATAAGTGGAGTCTTGCCTTAGCAGCGAGAGTTTCTACAGATTCACAACATTTCCAAACCCAGCATATTCCCTTACAGATACAATTAGATTCTGCGAAGTGATAAAAACAGAGCAATCTTGCCGTAATGCACTTAGCTTTCTCTTATTAGTTGACATTTTAAAAGCGGTGGCCCGAAGGATCTGGCAAAACACGCCTGTAAAAAATAGATTTTTTTTCTTTCTTGATTCCTTCTGTCTTTTGTCTTTGCCCTTAAACATTGACGCTGGAGTTACAGCAGTCAGTGCCATCTGGTTTACACTACGTATGAGGCATTCACTGATCAGAAGAAAGTAGGATTTTTACTTTTCCAATTGGTCGACCGCGCATATAACCACATGATTTCTCTAAAAATAACCAGAACCAGTGATCCGATTTTGGTTTTCTAAGTTGATTATTTCATTCATCTTTGCTGGATATTGGTTAATGTGCCTTGATGTGTCTGTACTGTGCTGCAAAGTATTGTTTTTTTTTCATCATCACAACACCATCCTGTCTGCAAACATACCCACACACACACACATACACACTCATCCTCATCAGTGGCTTTATAACTGCTGCATCACTGGATCCTGTGTGTCCTCATTAAAACTCACTGAAAAGGCACTGACTGACATCTATTGCAAGACAGTCAGGAGGAAAAGAGTTGCCTGCTGTCTAATCTGTGCTCTCTTAGGTCTTTTTCTCAATTAATGGAATGCATTTGTTCCTTTATTCAATTCTCAAAAAGCTTTTCTTTGCCACATTCTAAGATAATGAACGAATGAAGAGCCAAGAAAAAAATCTCCTCACACACAAACATATTTTGAGTAAATCTATATGGGATGTAAGGAGAAATTTCTCATTGCTGGCAGGTTTTCCCTCTTGCTATGAAGAGTGGGATTTTTTTTTTCTGCTCAGTGGCCTGTGGACATGCTTGTTAAAATAGATTCTTTTTTTGCAAAGGCTGCCATACTGTCACTCAGCTGTCTTCTATTTTATGCAATCAAAATACAGTAGGCATGCCGGAAATGTGAATGCAGCAAAAAATATATTCTTGTTTTTTTTTTTCTTTCCTTCCCTGCTCACTCATCAACTCTGTTTCTGTCAAAAGATGGCAAACTGTTCAACTCTGCGCACGCTATTCCTTTTCCTACAAGCTAAACCCTATCAGAGGCAGCATAATAATCTTTTTAATAAGTCATGTTTCACTGGTTATTCATGCCCTATATTTTGCTTCATATTTTGTCTCATTACAACCACTCAGTTTATGTGATTAACTAAGTCAGTTCAGCTCCAATTTCTTTCTCCAGAAAGACGTTTTGTCTTTCTGGAGACGTTTCTCATAAATTGGTCTAAGGATGGGCATGTATCGCTTGTTTACGATTTACTGTGATAAATTACTTATCACAATAAGAAATTTGACTTATCATTACTACAATAGATTACAATTAATGACGTTTAAGACACCCCAAAACTGTCCGTTGATAGTTATACTATTTATTTGTTTAATAAAAGCATCAATAAATGCAAGCAAATTTGAAAATAGATTTACGTTGTGCAGCTTAATTGTTTGTCATGTAAACGCACTGTCATACAGCTACCAAAAAAGGAAGTATTAAATAGTTTTTACCATCATGTTTGTCACAGGGACAATAGTACAAAATACTGCCCTGATACCCTGTTTTATTTGCAAGTGTCAGAGTAAAGGGGACAGCATACACAGGCGTACATCTTTCAATTTTTTTCAGTGAAACATTGAAAACAACACGTCCATTTCATTTCATTTCCAGTGCGACTTTGCAACGGGCTTTCACACAAAATCCCTTCGCCCCTAAAAACAACACACACATTTGGGTTGAACCTGAATAAATGTGAAAAAATTTTTAAAAAAGTGAAGCTTGTCAAACTGCCTCTCAATCCCCCCACATGTCTGAACTCTCTCATTTTGCCATGTCTCTCTCCCCGCAGATGTACTTCAATACCAGCATCAATACCACAACTAAGCTGCTGAAGCCCCTGCTGGTGTTCGCCTTCTGCATGGCTGCGGGCCTCGCTGGCCTGACTCAGATAACGCAGCACCGCAGTCACCCGATAGACGTCTACGTGGGGTACCTCATAGGAGCTGGCATCGGAGTCTATCTGGTGAGTTGAGAGAAGAGCGCCCGGCACGGTGTGACACACGCATGCGGTTCCTGTCGTGCTTGAGACGATTTAGAGTCAAGACGAAAGGAAGCAGGGATCAATCATTTTGATCTGTTTAAAAGCAATCATCTCTTATTTTTTAATGCATTTCAACATAACGAGTTGTTAGCTTCTGATTAGGAGCTAGTTTCTCTTCCAACGTGTGTTTAAGAGTCAGAGAGCGGCATGGTTACATTTTGTTTATTATTATTATTAATCTGTTAAATTGTCGTATTGTTTTTCTTCGAACAATGTCACAGCATGTGCTAACAAATTCTTGATTTTCGCACCACTTCCACTCCCCCTGTGTGGCTTCCATATTTTTTTCTCTCAGCATTTTTTCTTCGCATGCTATATATAGCTTATTTCTAGTGAGGCGGGGAAGCGAGAGAGAATAAATAATCTGATAAAGATTCTCTGGAGAATTTCACACTTCGTTTTAAGAAAACTTGTCGTTGCCAATTTCCACGCTTCTCCTCTCTTTCTCTAGTCTCTCACTTTTTGAGAGGGGGAGCGATTTCTGCCGTTTAAGGAGACAATAAAATGAAGGGAAAGACAATGATTCAAACTGACCTTAGGCACCGCAAAAATGGAGAGAGACAACTATTCATGTACACTCAGTTATTTAATATGTACAGTACTTCCATCTAATTATTTTTCTCACTCCGCCCTGTGTCTGTTAGGCTGTGTACGCTGTGGGGAATTTTAAAGCATCAGAGGAAGATTCTCCCTCTTTGCAGCGGCTGACGTCGGTTCACCACAAGGACGGGCTTAGGGTGTTGACCCAGCGGAGCCACGATTCCCTGTACAGGAAGACTCCCAGGGTGTCAGAGAGCAGGGAGGAGCTGGGGGCCGGGTTGGGGTCCGGAGCCCGCAGTAAGGTGAGGAGGGACAAGGCGTCCCTGGCCTCGCTGAAACGAGCCAGCGCCGACGTGGAGCTCCTGGCGACGCGCGGCCCCATGGGCAAGGAAACCATGGTAACCTTCAGCAACACCTTACCCAGAGTCGCAAATGGCAGCAGCCCCATCTCCCCCTCCGACGAGCCAGTCGTCACGCAGCGCCACATGACCTTCCACGTGCCCTTCGATCCCCAGAGGTCCCGGCAGCTGGTGTCCGAGTGGAAGCAGCGCTCACTGGAGCTCCGCAGTCAGAGCTCGAGAGACGAAGATGAGGGGGAGGACGAGAGGGAGAGAGGAGGCGGCGGAGGGGCGGCTGCAGGGGAAGGAGAGAGCAAGGGCATGCCTTCGTCTCTATACCCGACGGTGCAGGCCAGCAACGTTACCGCCACGCCGGCGACGGCAAGGATGGCCGTGGCACCGCCGCTGGTTCACATCCCCGAAGAGGCCACGCGGCCTCCACCCGTTTCCCCCAAGAGTGCCAAAACGAGAGCCAAGTGGTTGTCGCTCACTGAGGGAGGAAGTGTGAAAGAGCCTGGATCCGGACCCATCGCGGTGTCGACTCCCAGGGTTCCCAATACGCAGCCCAGCCAGCCTCCCAGCCAGCAAAGAGTCACTCAGGTGAGAAAGATGCAAGAAAACTCTTTTCATGTATTGTGAAGAATCTTTTTTTTTTTTTTTTTAGTTTTATGTCATCTCATAATATTATTCCCTTGTCTCAAACATACCTTGAGCCTTTAATGCTCCTTTGATTCTTTCATGCATATGAAACTTTGAATTTTCCGTAGTGACCATTCCAGGGTACCTAAACACTTGCTCATACAAAGCACCACCTACTTCCACAGAACTCCTTCTGGAAACTCTATGCCTTTTGGGGGGTACCATGGAAAATACATAGTACCATCCAAAAGGCATAATTCCAATTTTCATAGAGGCCACTTTAAAATGTTATAGATTGTGTTACATTAGAACTACAAACTTATGTATATTTCTTTATGGGATCATTTGCAAAAAGTCATCAATCATTTCTCATTTCACAATTATGAGCACCTTTTGGTCTACCGTAAGAAAGCCAATGATTTTAATGGTACATTTTACAGGGGGCTATATAGTTTAAACAGGACAGGTGATTTAGCAGCTGCCAGATGCTGGACAAACAAAAATAACTACGATTTATTTAGGCGGTAATCAAAGCTAAATACTGAAGGAAACAATTTGCCTGAGTGGTTTTCTCAGTTATTCCCTCATTAGGACTGTAATTGTAGTGGAAAACTAACATGTTGCTGTCATCATATAGTTTATACGTTGACTACTGCCCTTTCCTGCAGGTCATAGCTATGTCGAAGCAGCAGGGTCACGGAGGAACCACTTCGTCAGCCAAGACATCAGAAGGGGGTTCCTCCTCGGGGGGTGGCTCCAACTGCTCCGAATCACCGTACTACCGCATCCCGTCCGATAGAGACAGCTGCACCGGCAGCAACCCGGGGAGTGTCGCCGGCAGCGGGAGCATTGTGACCATCGACGCTCACGCCCCCCACCACCCGGTGGTGCGCGTCTCAGCCAGCAACGGCAAGCAGTGGGAGTGGAGGAACACCATCAGCGGCAACATGATGAGTGCCGACACGTCGGGCGACAAGCACCGCATGGCTCTGCAGCGGCAGGACAACGTCTGCCACTACAGGGACTACCGGACGCTGCCGGGAAAAACAGACTCACTCGGCTCTTCCACGACCAGCGGGAGTGTAGAGGTGGGGGTGGGGCTGGGAGTGGAGATGCCCCCACCACCCCTTCCCACGGCCTCCTCGCCTCTGCCTCCTCCACCTCAGTTGTCTTCTTCCCCTCTTCCACCACCTCCATCCCCTTCCCCGCTGCCCCCGCCTCCACACTCAGGCCCTACTCCCATGCCTCCACCTCCTCCTCATTCTAGCTCCCCTCACATGCCCCCACCCCCTCACCCTTCTTCCTCACAAATGCATCCTCACCTTTTATCCAACCAGATGCCTCCTCCACCTCCTCACCCATCTTCCTCTCCGCTACCTCCTCCTCCTCTGCCCTCCTCGTCCATGCCTCTTCCCCCACACCCTTCCCACTCCGCCATGCTTCCCCCTCCGCCCCACCCTGACCTGCTGATGGATGGCCACGGCCAGGCCCTATCCCGCTCCTCCACCCTGCCCCGCCGGCCCTCCGTGTCGTCCCGGAGCCACGCCGAGCAGGAGCACTACTACAAGGCCATGCAGAATGAGAGGATGTTATAGTTGAGGAGCCGCGGGGAAGGCAACAGACATCGTCTCAACATTAGAGATTGTACTTGAAATGACAGAACTGAAGGAGGCATTACAAGAAACCAGGCTGCAACAGGTCAGCAGAGATTTCCGACTTCTGAAAAACAACAAAAAGGTTTGGAGCCACAGACGGCGCCAGGGACTGTAAGGAGGTCTTAAAAAAAAACTCAGCAGGATGCCTGTTTTTCCTCGTCTCTCTCGTTTATCCTGCCACAGCACCAGCCGAGGAAAGAGAGAATGAAGGAAAACAAGACGGAGAGGCAAAAAAAAAAACGAAGTGAAGCTTGCTTGTGCTTTTGCCTCCGGTTTTGTTAGCATCTCTGGAGTTTCTTTAAGGACGGGTTCAAAAGAAGGAGCTGAGAAAGAGATATCACAATGGATGGTGTGGGATTTGCTAAATCAAGTTCCCCTAGGGAGGAGGCTGAGAAAACAACTACAGGCAATGCATGCTCATCTGAAACCAGAGCAGCCATTTGAGGTTTTCCTGTGATCTCTTTTTATCCAGCTGAAACACTCTTGTTCCAATGCACCGTACAGCAGAGAATATGGCCAATTCAGCAAATTTAATCACAGGTTTAGGAGTATTAACTGCAGCTCACAAAGGCTGGAAAGTGAGGGCATTGTCTTTTCTATGCCAAGCAGGTGTATCGGCATGCACCAGAGATGCTCGACTGAGGAAGGAGAGGTGAGTATAAATAGGATCATACACCACTGGGCAACCTCCTATATGGACGTCACTGAATGGATTATGGCTGTGCACATTAGAGGCAGTGGAATGGAAAGAGAATCGCTTCTAAAATGAAAAGTTCAGCAGGAGCACTCGGCACAAAGCGCGGGCTCATGGTGGGACTTTTCAGCGAGCGAAATCCACCATGGACTGAAGATCAAATCCAAAACAGGGAACGTAGATGAGTGTTTTGTTTATGGACCAATGCCAGCTACGCTTCTCAACCGCGTCCCCCATCGAAGTGTAAAAGTCGCTCCAGCCGGCGAAGCTAACCTTCCTATCCAGCACATCTGAAGCAGATGGAGGGTCGCATCGCGCAGGTTTCACAGATCAACACGGACACACTATTCAAAACAATTCCTGAGTTATCTGTTTGTAAAATATGTTTTTAGATATTGTCCAGGAGAGCTCTTCAGGAATCCTCAAAAGTGTTCATTTCTAACTTTATCAAAACTGGACTGTTGAAACTATCATTCACCATTTGTGAGCTCTGAGTGATTGCCACTCTTGTTAGCCTTTTAGTTATTGCACCATCATTTCTCTTTTTTGTTTTTTGTTTTTGTTGTTTTTTGTTTTTTTACCAAAACCAGGTCTTAATTCAGGTGAGATTGCTCTTTGGGAGCCTTAAAAAATTTAAAATGAATTCTCTTAATTTTCTTCAGGGGAATCAAACTCATTTCCATTTTGGGCCATAGAAAGAGTATGAATGAATCATCCTCGAAGAACCAATTGTGGCCAAATATATTGATAACAACCCCATAAACAAACAGCTAAAATATTTTATGAGATACTGAATATCCTTTAGCATTTCTAGTATTGGGTTTATACAGTTAAAAACTACTTTGAAATTATATTTAGGCACATAACTGTAAACTTGAAGATGCTATTTCTGTGGCCCTCTAAGATCTAGTTTCATCTAAGTCTGACATACAATCTGTTGTGGACTAGATTTGGCCTATTATCTATACATTATCTCTGAGCTTTTGAAGACTTTGATCACTGGTTCATGTCAATGAGGGATTCAGAACAAAACGTTGAAATAATCACGTTGTATTTTTTATTTTTTTTGCAGTCAGTCTTCCATCACCAACTTTATTCCGTTGATCATTTTCTTTAGAAATAATCTTTTCTGATAAATGCAGGCTCCTATTTTAAACCAGATGTATAACCTTTATTTTAAAGCAAGAATTAGCCATTTTTGTTATTGATGATTGGAGCCCATTGAGAATTTGAATCCTGCTTTTATGGAAATCTAACATTTCAAAGACGAAGAGCCTTAATTGGAGAAAGGTCTTTTAGCTATGCTATGAAAATTTTTTTGTTTTTTTTATCCTTCTGTCACAGGTACTCTGTGTATATTTGGTTACCATTGTGATTTCCCACATTTTGTGGGTATCAGCATGTGACTTTCTTGCTTAGAGCCAAGTAAAATGATACATGACAGAAACGTCTAATCGAATGGCTGCTGGTTTAGCCCCCTAGGTAGCTATAGGGAAGGATTTGAAACCACACAAAGCAGCAGGGTCTAATGCTCAATTTTCATATTTGTACTTTTGTTGAAGCTATGCCGATGTAAACATGCCTTCAATACGAGACGCAACGAGACAAATCTCTCTCAAATAACGTTAGTCGATGAACGAAATCCTGTGAGCTCTTGGGGGATTTGGCAGGAAACTGCCAAATTCCTCCAATGGCAGACTCGCTGTCTGAAAGCGGACACATTTTCATGCACAGCTGCAGAAAAGGGCACGTGTCGGTTGAGGTCTGCGGTTGTAAGGCTGGATTAAAAGGAATATTTCAATTGAAATTTCTGAGCTTGTTTGGCACCGAAAGAAATTAAAGATGTGAGAGAGATCTCTTTCTCTAAGCGTTATCTGATTAAAATGAGAAATTTGTGTAAAACGTACTATTACGTTGACTTGTTTATCCTGAAGTTAAATTATGACGCTAAGTGGAATAATTGCTGCTTGTACTGCTGAGATTGATGGGTAAAATAGCAGAACTAAAATAACAAATTAACAGATATTTCCTGAAAATATTTCAAATGTATTAATTTAGCCGCTTCTCAAATATTAAGCAACATGATCACTATGTTAAACCTTCAAAGCCCCAAAATATTAATATTTTCAACAACAAAAAATTGAAAGCTCTAAACAAAATTCAAGGTATTGCTAAAGGTTTAGCTTGACAATACTTTTTTTTTTTTTGTTTGCCATTAAAAATATCATTTTTTGTGTTCCTGGCAACCCTTTAGTTTTGGCCTTAAGGTCCTGTAATACACTTAATTACAAGACAAAAAGGTAAATACTAGTACCAACTAACATAAGAAATTATCTAATTATGTTGCTGCAGGGCAAGAAAATTAACATTTAAAGGTTTTTTTATTATCATTAATTCTAATGATTAAGAATTTCCGTAATTTATTTAGTTAGTTGCACAATAAACAGTCTAAATGAATGGACCCTTGTTAAAGATGTGTTGCAAGGCAGTAGCAGAATCTCGCACTGAAAATTGAAGTAATAACTCCAAAGTCACACTTGCACGTACGTTGGTGACCATTCCTAACACCATTTCCATGTTTAATGAAGCTAATCTTGCTCTCATCAAACCAAAGAAGAGTCAGGTCCCAGTTAAAGGGTTAAAATTTAGTAGGTGATGTGTCACATCATGTTCATTGAAACAGAAAGTCGTGGCTTTTTAATAAAAAATTCCTAGAAAGTCTGAATAAAAAACATCAATAGTCATTTTATAGGCGTTATTTGGGTTCTAATAACCATGTTACTCATGATTTTGCCCCCCACCCCACTGAACAATTGTATTCATATAAAAATTTGACGTCTCAACTTTTTGCTGTGAGATTATTCTACTGCAATAAAATATTTATTTATCTTAAGGCATATCTTTAACACAGAGTGCCAGTAAGTATGACAAATGTCCTCCGCCAATAAGAAAAGGAAGATTTGCACAACCTCTTGGTGCTCCTTGTAAACTCTTCCTACACACCTTTTTGTCAGTTTATGGCTTGTACAAAGCTTTTCCTTTATTTTCAGACCGAAGATATCTCATTTAATCACATGTGGTTCATTTTGGCAACTAATTTGATTGTACTTTTTCGAAACACAGACTCGACGACGGGTGGCATCGCTGTCCACCTGCTCACCCCAAAAAACCCCAGAGGTAAATAGACTGGTTTTGTAAAGTCGGCCTAGGAAGAGGTTCTGTTAAATGGAACAAGTTGTGTGTGTGTATGTTTTTTTAGAGGTGCTTCTCAAATGAGAAGCTGGTAGTTTAGTTGCCTGTCACTTTGTGCTGCATGTGTGTAAGAGTGTGTGTATTTTATTTTATTTTTTTACGTTAGTACTTAAACCTTTTTGAAAGATTAATCCTCTGGTGAATGTGCTACAACTTTGAGCCCAGTTTGACTGTAAGATATTTGAAATTACTTAATATTATTAATACTGTTATTATTTAAAAGTCCTCTTTTATGGGCTAATGTTTTCTATCTGTAGTGATGTGTGACATTGATAAGTTTGTTGAATAAAAAAAATCATGTCTGCTTAACGGAGGCTTGATCTCGTGGTGCTTGAAAACAACGCGTGGAGTTCATAAGGCAGCGCTCCAAATAGCGAGCGAGGTCGATGCCACGGCGGCGTTTACCGCCACCCTGGTGAAAAGGATCTTCCTCATCGATCTTTAGGTTAAGAGGACTTTCTTCCTCATCCTGCACTTGAACACACACAAATGTGTGTAGCAAACGTAGAAGAAGCACATTTGCAGTGCAGCCTTTCTCTCTCTCTTTCTGCAGGGTCTAGTGTCAAGTTTCTGAAATGAATTCTTCTACATTGTTGGTCAGTCCTTAGCGAATAGTCTAGAATAAAGCAAACATTGTCTGAGGTCTCTTGATGTTGTAGAAAAGAATAGGGGGGGGAAATTCCCAGAAGTTATTCTGTTTTTTTTCTGTCACAGCCACAAATATTGCTTACTTTGACTTTATATGGTAGAACAACAAATGCAGGATAAACAAATAAAAAAACTTATGTTTTTTTATTTTTTGTTCATCAAAACAAATGAACATGCCTTGATTTCTAGTTCTGGCTGTAGTGGAGTATTTGACGTTCTTTTGTTTTGCAGCCACTGAACCGTTTTCTTTTAGTATTATGCTGTTTTAAGGTTTAGGTGGCTTCAATAAGCAATTGATTCTACAGGATTTTAATTAGGGGTATCACAGTAATCAGGACAGACTATCATGCAGCTCACAGTTTATGTTAATGAATCACAGAAAATCCCAATAAAAAAAAGATTGGATGCCTTCGAGAGACACTGCGTGTGGGGTTTAAAATGTGTGTTGTTTTTTTTTCTCGGAACGCGTCTGTCTTCGCTCATATGCATATTTGTGTGTGTGTGTCCAACATTGTGGAGCAATGATCTGTGTGATGAGGCCATATAGAGGTAGTGGGGGGGGCAGATGGTGTACCAAGGCCTGAGGACAGTCAGTCTGTCCGTGACTCACACTCGGCAAGCTAGCAGCCCTTTCTCTCAATGTCGTCCACTCCCCAGCTCCCCCAACCTTCTTTCATTGGTGGCCCAGAAACTGCCACACAACTAGTGTGCATGGATATGTGACTACAGGAGGCAACAGAACAGAAAATGGAGACTGAGCCTTCCATTTTTGTGACTGAGTGCCTTCTTTTTAGTGCTTATACAGTATCTGTGCACCCATGGGTTTGTGTGTGGATGTGGGAGTGTGTTTGGCCAGGCCAAGCAGCTTACAGCCTTTTCAGGACTGATTTACCACTGCAGAAACAGCACAAAAGCCTTTTGTGTCCCACTCCTTTGTCATCCCGCTCACTTTGACACTATCATTCTCCCGTCTGCCGCTGCATCCAGCTCCCTTTCCACCTTTACAGATGGGGGAAGTGGATTTGGTGCTGCACACCCTTAATTTTAAACAGCTCTCTGACTTCTGAAAGACTGGTTGCTCATGGATGATAGAAATGCTCTTGTTTTCTGTTTAGTCAATACGGTGAATCATAAACCTAAAAAACAAATTCAGCATGAAAATGTAACATCGGTTTACTTTGGTCATGTAATCTGGCTCGAGGTTCTCAGTTATGGAAAATACCACAATCAATTGTAATCATCTAACACAATCACAGTCATTGAGCTTAGAAGCACTTCGCATTTATTGCACTTAAAATTCTAGATTTTAAGTGCCTGACACAATAAGCAATAATTCAGTTAATTGCACAATCAATTAAAGTGAGTTCAATAATTTCCATTTGCATGATTTATCACTTCCCTCTTTTCTCTTTCTAGCAAAAATCAAATGATCAAAATCTTCGGTCTGGCGCTTTGGACTCAACCAAAGCCCTGTTTTCTTTTAACAAAGACTTCTAAGCAACAATATTATTTTATAAATTTCTTGTGACAGGCCTAATTAAAGTAGGAGTGCAATTACAATGTGGAATGTGGCAAATTAATTTAATTATACTGTATATTCAATAACAATGTTAACTTTGTTAACCATGTCTTCAGTGTAAATGAATGTCGGAATAAAACTGACAGGTGTAAAAACTCTACAGCAAAGTATCTCCTAGGGCTTAAATGTAATGTTTCATCACATTTTTTTATTTCAAAAGTGGCTGCTCAAAGTCGTGGTTTGCTTAATTTCTCTCCGTTAAAATCTCTTCCTGATAAGACGATGTCCACTTCTGAAGAATTCATAACACAAACGCACAAAGAAATTATCCTGCATTCTGAATCCAACCAAATCTCACAGCTTCCTCCAAGCCCATGTCATAAACCCATATGTTAGTCAAACGCCAACATGGTGGAAAGCTGAGGCAAAAGTCCCAACAAGGTTCAGTGCGTCAGTCAGGGTCTCTACCCACCACAGCTGGAGGCCCAGACTGACATTTTCCGGAGGTTGAGATTCTCTCGGTTCCCTCTTTATTTCCAACCAGCTCCTACCCGCCTTTCCCTGTACTTTTTCAAATCGATATTTCATCAACTTTTATGTGGCCAAACAGTGACAAAGAACACCAAAGTGCAGAGAAATATCGCATCCACAACTGAATGTGAGGAAAAACAGGTCCCCCACTAGTCGCTATATTTTATAACAAATTCCTTTCATTTATTTATTTTTTTCCCAGAGGCTATCTGTTTGGAGGGAGAAAAATGTCCTATCAGGCTGCTAGCGACATCGATACAGCCCAGCTGGGAGCCTGACATTTTTACAGCGCCTTGCAAGGGCTGCTTTATAGAAAGTTAACTTTCAACCCTGCAGGCTTTAGTTATTCTGGAGCTGTGAGGCTGTTTGTCTAGGTTTTTATTTCACAGTATGTCCACAGCAGCTCTGTGAGGCTTCCAGAGAGGTATCAGTTATTCTCCAGGCTTTCAGACGCAGCCGTCAACCGGGTTATTTTAGAGCACTTCGTTCTTCCTTTTGCTCACAAGCGTTTTGGAGATGATGACTTCGTTTTCCAACAGGACCTGGCACCTGTCCACACTACCAAATATACCCAAAGCTGGTTCAATGACTGTGGTGTTATTGTTAATGATTAGTCATTAAACTGGTCTGGTCCTGAAAATTAATTAAGACTTTTTCATATGTCCAATCTGTAGTGATATTTCTCGTGGTAAGGGGGAAAGCAAGAATAGCGGTTGACTTAGATTTTTGGAGCGTCAATATTTTTATTCTACGTCTGAACGTACAGATGGAAGCAAAAGGAATTCATTGTTTTTGCCTGAAATTGTACAATCATTTCAACAGTTGAACTAAAGAGTCATCTGAATCACCGGTAATGCACTGAATTAAAGTCACGTCAAACAAAAAGAACAAAAAAGAACACTTCTCTGAGTTGCAAGAATGACAAATCTAAAGTTAAAGATATGGAGCAAAAAAATAGTCTTGTTACCCGAATAGTCCGCACAGTACTAGTATAAAGTTCCAACCAAGCAAAGACTTCAGCAAAATGACCCACCAGTGGCACCGCTAGCACTCAACATAGAGCAACGGCGCTTCATAGAAAAAACTGAAATAGAAAACAAAAGTTCATAACAAAAAACAGTGGCACCTCTAAAAGAGGACATTCAAGCAGACATGACATCAGCAACATGACTTTAGCTTTATACATGGAAATTACAGTTCAGACGATAATTAGCAAACATCTGGATTCTTCGTTCATGTGGCCATAAAGTCGTCTTCTCCAGCATGTCTCGGCTCAAAAATCTCCTTTTCTTCCGTTTTAGCAGTTCTAATACGTAAATGAGAGGCTTTTTCGACTTCTGGTAATGTTAGACCTCTCTATACCCACTTTACACCATTTTAGACCTCTCTGCAACACATGCTGACAAAAAGAAGAATTGCAACCAGTACATGAAATAAAAGCATAACAGGGTTTGCAAAATGCATCTTTATAGGAACCCAGTTTTTCACCTGGTTACACTTGGTTAAGCTCAAAATTATTCGTATCTCTTTCCGATTTAACGTTGAGGTGTTCTTTGAACTTTACCAAAATGTTTCCTCTGACAAAATCAACCTTAGTTCTGACTTGAATATGTCAGAGAATCTGTGGATTTGTCTAAATGCTATCACGATGGAAAGGAACCTCTCCAGGCTGGCAGAAAGCCTGTCAGCAGTTTACTGACGTTTAAAAAAAAATAAAAAAAAAAACATGACATGAATAAACGATGCAGATTTATTTTCAATTAATACTTCTACATTTTATATTGCTGGTTTTCTATTGAGTGAGTCCTGTCCACATTTTTTTGCAGAAACAATAGGAATGAAAAAATTATTTGGGGGTTAAGAGAAAAATAATAATAATTTTTTAAAACAGAAAGTAATAGAAAATATTCTTTTCCTTCTTGTTTATTTCCTTGTCGAGAAATTAGAACAACAGCAAATGTTGCTTGGACAGAACAAGGAGAAAACTCTGTAATTATTGCCATTTAATTTCCGTTGTTCTGGTTGTTCTGGTTTGTAATTACATCCTTTTCTCTCCCCAGGGCCTTCAAATTCTTCTCCATTTAAAATATCAAAAAAGCAAGTTTCATTAAAATTTTTCAGATCAGCCGTCCCACCCCCTAAGGGCCCTGGGCACGACAAATCCCAGATGATGCTTTGCTTTCGGAAAAGTGATTTAAGATCGGTTGATAATTGGAGAGGTTGGCTGAGCCAATGGCGGGAAAAAATTGTCTCTCTGCCACCTCAGGCTGATTTAAGGGGAGGGGGAATAAAAATGCTAAAAAGCTGACTTTTCAAAGATATAAAGCTCTGTCGTAACTGCTGAGAACGCATGCATGTGAATCTTTCACTGTCGTCGCTCCTCTGATTAAAGCTGACACGCCTGTTTGGTAGTCTCCTCATGCTTCCATTTGTGGAAATGACGGTGGAATTAGATGGAAACAATACTCCGCTGGAGCCTCGCATTCCAAAACACAACAAACGTTTCTTCTGGTGAACGTGAGGAGAAATGCAGACATGGGATGAATCCCATTTCTTCTTCTTCTTCTTCTTTTTGTTGACTTTATGCAAGAGGAGACGAAGACAGAGGGGT